GGGTAGTGTACAATAACCTAGCCACTCACAGCATGAGCTGTGGGTAGTGTACAATAACCTAGCCACTCACAGCATGAGCTGTGGTAGTGTAAAAATAACCTAGCCACTCACAGCATGAGCTGTGGGTAGTGTACAATAACCAAGCCACTCACAGCATGAGCTGTGGGTAGCGTACAATAACCAAGCCACTCACAGCATGAGGTGTGGGTAGTGTACAATAACCTAGCCACTCACAGCATGAGCTGTGGGTAGCATACAATAACCAAGCCACTCACAGCATGAGCTGTGGGTAGTGTACAATAACCTAGCCACTCACAGCATGAGCTGTGGGTAGTGTACAATAACCCAGACACTCACAGGATGAGCTGTGGGTAGTGTACAATAACCTAGCCACTCACAGCATAAGCTGTATGTAGTTTACAATAACCTAGCCACTCACAGCATGAGCTGTGGGCAGTGTACAATAACCTAGCTGGTCACAGCATGAGCTGTGGGTAGTGTACAATAACCCAGCCATTCACAGGATGAGCTGTGGGTAGTGTACAATAACCTAGCCAATACAGCATGAGCTGTGGGTAGTGTACAATAACCTAGCCACTCACAGGATGAGCTATGGGTAGTGTACAAAAAGCTAGCCCATCACAGCATGAGCTGTGGGTAGTGTACAGTAACTGAATCACTCACAGCATCAGTTGTAGGTAGTGTACAATAACCTAGCCACTCACAGCATGAGCTGTGGGTAGGGTACAATAACCTAGCCACTCATAGCATGAGCTGTGGGTAGTGTACAGTAACCTAGCTACTCACAGAATGAGCTGTGGGTACTGTACAATAACCTAGCCACTCACAGCATGAGCTGTATGTAGTTTACAATAACCAAGCCACTCACAGCATGAGCTGTGGGTAGTGTACAATAACCTAGTCACTCAGAGCATCAGTTGTGGGTAGTGTACAATAGCCTAGCCACTCACAGGATGAGTTGTGGGTAGTGTACAATAGCCTAGCCACTCACAGGATGAGCTGTGGGTAGTGTACAATAACCTAGCCAATACAGCATGAGCTGTGGGTAGCGAACAATAAACTAGCCACTCACAGAATGAGCTATGGGTAGTGTACAATAACCAAGCCCCTCATAGCAGGAGCTGTGGGTAGTGTACAATAACTGAGTCACTCATAGCATCAGCTTGTGAGTAGTGTACAATAACCTAACCACTCACAGCATGTGCTGTGGGTAGTGTACAATAACCTAGCCACTCAGCATGAGCTGTGGGTAGAGTACAGTAACCTAGCTACTCACAGAATGAGCTGTGGGTATTGTACAATAACCAAGCCACTCACAGGATGAGCTGTTAACATCACTGAGGCAATCTTAACATCAGTAAGGCAATGTTAATATCAGTGAAGCAATGCTAATCTCAGTGAAGGCAATGTTAATATCAGTGAAGCAATGTTAACATCAGTGAGGCAATGTTAACATCAGTGAGTCAATGTTAACATCAGCTAAGTAATATTAACATCAGCTAAGTAATGTTAACATCAGTGAAGCATTGTTAACATGACTGAAGCAATGTTAACATCAATGAAGCAATGTGTACAATAACCTAGCCACTCACAGCATGAGCTGTGGGTATGTACAATAACCAAGCCACTCACAGCATGAGCTGTGGGGATTTTACAATAACCTAGCCCTCACAACCATGAGCTGTAGGTAGTGTACAATAACCTAGCACCTCACAGCATGAGCTGTGGGTAGTGTACAATAACCTAGCTGGTCACAGCATGAGCTGTGGGTAGTGTACAATAACCTAGCCACTCAGAGCATCAGTTGTGGGTAGTGTACAATAGCCTAGCCACTCAGAGGATGAGCTGTCGGTAGTGTACAATAACCCAGCCACTCACAGGATGAGCTGTGGGTAGTGTACAATAACCTAGCCAATACAGCATAAGCTGTGGGTAGTGTACAATAACCTAGCCAATACAGATAAACTATGGGTTTGTTTTACAATAACCTAGCCCTCACAGAAGTTGGGTAGTGTACAATAACCTAGCCCACTCACAGCATGCAGTTGGGGTATGTTACAATAACATAGCCACTCAAAGGCATGAATGTGGGTATGTACAATAACACTAGCCCCTCAAGAAAGAGCTGTGGGTAGGTCATAATAGTACAACAAACTACTGTACTAACCACCAATACAGCATGAGCTGTGGGTAGTGTACAATAACCTAGCCACTCACAGGATGAGCTATGGGTAGTGTACAATAACTGAATCAGTCACCGCATCAGTTGTGGGTAGTGTACAATAACCTAGCCACTCACAGCATGAGCAGTGGGTTTGGGTACAATAACCTAGCCACTCATAGCCCTAGCTGTGGGGTGGTAAAAGTAACCTAGACTACTCACCGAATGAGCTGTGGGTACTGAACAATAACCTAGCCACTTGCAGCATGAGCTGTATGTAGTTTACAATAACCTAGCCACTCACAGCATGAGCTGTGCATAGCGTACAATAACCTAGCCACTCAGAGCATCAGTTGTGGGTAGTGTACAATAGCCTAGCCACTCATAGGATGAGTTGTGGGTAGTGTACAATAGCCTAGCCACTCGCAGGATGAGCTGTGGGTAGTGTACAATAACCTAGCCAATACAGCATGAGCTATGGGTAGTGTACAATAACCAAGCCCCTCACAGCAGGAGCTGTGGGTAGTGTATAATAACTGAGTCACTCATTGCATCAGTTGTGAGTAGTGTACAATAACCTAGCCACTCACAGCATGTGCTGTGGGTAGTGTACAATAACCTAGCCACTCAGCATGAGCTGTGGGTAGAGTACAGTAACCTAGCTACTCACAGAATGAGCTGTGGGTATTGTACAATAACCAAGCCACTCACAGGATGAGCTGTTAACATCACTGAGGCAATCTTAACATCAGTAAGGCAATGTTAATATCAGTGAGGCAATGTTAACATCAGTGATGGCAATGTTAACATCAGTGAAGCAATGTTAACATCAATGAGGCAATGTTAACATCAGCTAAGTAATATTAACATCAGCTAAGTAATGCTAAAATCAGTGAAGCATTGTTAACATGACTGAAGCAATGTTAACATCAATGAAGCAATGTGTACAATAACCTAGCCACTCACAGCATGAGCTGTGGGTAGCGTACAATAACCAAGCCACTCACAGCATGAGCTGTGGGTAGTGTACAATAACCTAGCCACTCACAGCATGAGCTGTGGGTAGTGTACAATAGCCTAGCCACGCACAGGATGAGCTGTGGGTAGTGTACAATAACCTAGCCACTCACAGTATGAGCGGTTTGGGGAGTGTACAATAACCTAGCCACTCACAGTATGAGCTGTGGGTAGTGTACAATAACCTATCCACTCACAACATGATCTGTGGGTAGTGTACAATAACCTAGCCACTCACGGCATGAGCTGTGGGTAGTGTACAATAACCTAGCCACTCACAGCATGAGCTGTGGGTAGTGTACAATAACCTAGCCACTCACAGCATGAGCTGTGGGTAGTGTACAATAACCTAGCCACTCACAGCATGAGCTGTGGGTAGTGTACAATAACCTAGCCACTCACAGGCGATGAGGCTGTGGGTAGTGTATAATAACCTAGCCACTCACAGCATGAGCTGTGGGTAGTGTACAATAACCTAGCCACTCCAGCTGAGCTTGGATGTAAATAACCTGCCCTCCAGCATGTGTGGGTAGTGTACAATAACCTAGCCACCACATCAGAGCGTTTAGGCACCACTAGCCACAGCATGGCTGTGGGTAGTGTACAATAACCTAGCCCACATGAGCTGTGGGTAGTTACAATAACCAGCACCACAGTATTGTGGGTAGCGTACAATAACCAAGCCACTCACAGCATGAGCTGTGGGTAGTGTACAATAACCTAGCCACTCACAGCATGAGCTGTGGGTAGTGTACAATAGCCTAGCCACACACAGGATGAGCTGTGGGTAGTGTACAATAACCTAGCCACTCACAGTATGAGCTGTGGGTAGTGTACAATAACCTAGCCACTCACAGTGTGAGCTGTGGGTAGTGTACAATAACCTATCCACTCACAACATGATCTGTAGGTAGTGTACAATAATCTAGCCACTCACGGCATGAGCTGTGGGTAGTGTACAATAACCTAGCCACTCACAGCATGAGCTGTGGGTAGTGCACAATAACCTAGCCACTCACAGCATGAGCTGTGGGTAGTGTACAATAACCTAGCCACTCACAGCATGAGCTGTGGGTAGTGTACAATAACCTAGCCACTCACAGCATGAGCTGTGGGTAGTGTACAATAACCTAGCCACTCACAGCATGAGCTGTGGGTAGTGTATAATAACCTAGCCACTCACAGCATGAGCTGTGGGTCGTGTACAATAACCTAGCCACTCACAGCATGAGCTGTGAGTAGTGTACAATAACCTAGCTACTCACAGCATGAGCTGTGGGTAGTGTACAATAACCTAGCCACTCATAGCATGAGCTGTGGGTAGTATACAATAACCTAGGCACTCACAGCATGAGCTGTGGGTAGTGTACAATAACCTAGCCACTCACAGCATGAGCTGTTGGAAGTATACAATAACCTAGCCCCTCACAGGATGAGCTGTGGGTAGTGTACAATAACCTAGCCAATACAGCATTAGCTGTGGGTAGTGAACAATAACCTAGCCACTCACAGGATGAGCTATGGGTAGTGTACAATAACCTAGCCCCTCACAGCATGAGCTGTGGGTAGTGTACAATAACCTAGCCCTCACAGCATGAGCTGTGGGTAGTGTACAATAACCTAGCCACTCACAGCATGAGCTGTGGGTAGTGTACAATAACCTAGCCACTCACAGCATGAACTGTCACCAGTGGTTACCTAATCAGTACAGGTATTGTAAACATCTGTTACAGGAGAACCTAGCCACTGACAGCTTGAGTAGTGAGCTTAGCAGCACTAGCAGTGTGGGTTGGTCACTCACCTGTAGGTGTAAGGTCCCACCTCCTTCAGTATGGGCTTGGCACCGTGGAAACGTATAGCGTCAGGGTTGGTCACATTGAACAGGTAGATCTGCATGTAGATGGGCACTGGAGCCTTGATGAACGATGTTAAAGTCTTGCTGTTCTCCGATAACATCAACATCTGTAATGAAAACTGATGTTAATATCCCTGATGTATTGTTAATATCAGTGAAACAATGTTAATAATAACACTGAAGCAATGTTATTATCACTGAAGCAATGTTATTATCACTGAAGCAATGTTAATATCATTGAAACATTATTAATATCACTGAAGCAATGTTAATATCACTGAACAAATGTTTATGGAAAACTCGAAGAAATTAAAACTATCGGAGTATAAAACAAATTCTGAACACACAATCGAGTGATAAAAAGTAATGTGAAGGACCTGGAGTGATAATTCGGAGGATCTGACTTTTAAACACCACAACAGTCTACCACATCTGCTAGAAAAATGATGAGATGGATAATGAGAACCTTCAAAATTAGGGATGCAAAGTTCATGATTCTCTTCAAGTTGCTTGTTCTCTCTAGGCTGGAATATTACTGTACAGTAACTGCCCCGTTCCAGGCAGGCGAAATTGCTGACCTGGAGAATATACAGAACACTTTCACGGCACAAATAAGTACTATAAAGCACCTAAATTACTGGGAACAGTTGAAGTTCCTTGATTTGTGTTCCCTGGAATGCAGGCGAGAAAGATACATGATAATATATACATACCTGGAAAATCCTAGAGGGACTAGTATCAAATTTGCACACGAAAATCACGCACTATAAAAGCGAAAGACTCGGCAGGAAATGGGGCGCCACGGGTACGCTAAAGAAACAACATAATAAGTGTCAGGGGCCCAACACTGTTCAACTGCCTCCCAACATACATAAGGGAGATTACCAATAGACCCCTGACTATCTTCAAATAGATGCTGGACAGGCACCTCAAGTCAGTACCTGACCAGCTGACCTGTAGTTCGTAGGCTGGTTTACGTGCGGCCAGCAGTAACAGCCTGGTTGATTAGACCCTGATCTACCACGAGGTCTGGTCATGGAACACGCCACGGGGCGCTGACCCCCCAAACCCCCTCCAGCCTCCAGGTATGCTGCAGCGATCACTGAAGCAATGTTAATATCACTGTAGCAATGTTAATATCACTGAAGCAATGTTAATATCACTGTAGCAATGTTAATATCACTGAAGCATTGTTAATATCACTGTAGCAATGTTAATATCACTGAAGCATTGTTAATATCACTGAAGCATTGTTAATAAACACTGCGTAAACAATGTAATATCACTGAAGCAATGTTAATATCACTGAAGCAATGTTAATATCACTGAAGCAATGTTAATATCACTGAAGCAATGTTAATATCACTGTAGCAATGTTAATATCACTGAAGCAATGTTAATATCACTGAAGCATTGTTAATATCACTGAAGCATTGTTAATATCACTGTAGCAATGTTAATATCACTGAAGCATTGTTAATATCACTGAAGCATTGTTAATATCCCTGTAGCAATGTTAATATCACTGAAGCATTATTAATATCACTGAAGCATTGTTAATATCACTGTAGCAATGTTAATATCACTGAAGCATTGTTAATATCACTGTAGCAATGTTAATATCACTGAAGCAATGTTAATATCACTGAAGCATTGTTAATATCACTGAAGCATGTTAATATCACTGTAGCAATGTTAATATCACTGAAGCAATGTTAATATCACTGAAGCATTGTTAATATCACTGAAGCATTGTTTAATATCACTGTTAACAACTGTTAATATCACTGAGCAATGAATATCACTGTAGCAATGTTAATAAACTGAAGCAAAGTTTAATATCACTGTAGCAATGTTAATATCACTGAGCAATGTTTAAAATAACTGAAGCAATGTTAATATAACTGAAACATTTTTAATATCCACTGAAGCATTTTTAATATCACTGAAGCAATGTTAATATACGAGCAATGTTTAATATGACCCTTGTTAATACGAAGCAATTTTTAAAATCAAATGTACATGTAATATCTGAACAATGTTAATACACTGTAGCAAAGTTAATATCACTGAAGCAATGTTAATATCACTGTAAAACAATGTAATATCACTGAAGCAATGTTAATATCACTGAGCAATGTTAATATAACTGAAGCATTGTTAATAACACGAAGCAAGTTAATATCACTGTACAATGAAAATCACTGAAGCAATGTTAATATCATGAACAAGTTAATATAACGAAGCATGTTAAATAAATGAAGCAAAGTTTTTACACTTACAAGTTAATATCACTGAACAATGTTTTAAAATCACGAAGCAATGTTAATAACTGAACAATGTTAATAAAACTGAAAAGGGAAAAGTTTAAAATCACGTAGCAAAAGTTTTACACTGTAGCAATGTTAATATCACTGAACAATGTTTTATAAAGAACAAAGTTATATCACTGAAGCAATTTTAAATAAAATGAAGCAATTTAATATCCTGAAACAAAGTTAAAATAAAGAAACAATGTTAATATCACTGTAGCAATGTTAATATCACTGAAGTAAAAAGTTTTTTAAATCACTGAAGCAAGTTAAAACACTGAACAAGTTAATATACTGACG